TTTTCTTTTTTTCTTTTTGCACTTTAGCTTTCTCTTTTATTTCTTCCTTTTTCTTTTTTTCCCTCTTACTCTATTTTAGCTTATATTAATTTTTACTCTTGTTTTAAAACTCTCTCTCTCTGTCTGTCTGTCCGTCTCTCTCTCTCTCTCTATATATATATATATAGTAAAACATAGGCGAACACCAAGAACTAAACATAGGATTTTAAAAGTTTAACAAGTTAAAGACAACTACAGAGTTACAGCAAATTAAAAATCTATAGCAGAGGAAAGATTTAAAAAGCACACACAACTTTTAAAAGGGAAGGATTAAAAAGCATGGAAGAATTGAAAAGGAAGGCACCAGATGCGTTTAAAAAAAAAAAAAACTTCAGTGAATGGGCTTTCTAAGGACAGCACACCTTTACTACTAGAGCATCTCCACTGAATATCCCACTGATTATTTAAATGAGAAGCTACTAAAATATAGATAATTGCAGCTGAAGACCTTGCTGATGAAAGGAACAGTTAAACAGCATTACAGATTGCTTGCATGTAGCATGTTTTAAGGAAACACTCCATAATAACAAAACATGAAGAAAAAGACCAAGGGCACACACTTTGAAGTTTAACTTTATGAGCATGATCTAACTTATGATTCCGTATCAAATGACAATTCAAGTTTAAACATCTTGAGTATTCACTTTGATAATACTTCATTTCTATCTAAGAGCCAATTAAATTACTCAATCATTGATATCAAAAGCAGTCTGTGAAATACCAGCTAGTGTTCATTTTAAGCTATTATTGCCAAAAGTATATTATAGACTGAGATATATCCTTGACTCACACCATTTATGCTGACATACACAAGTGCAATTGACTAAGTCAAGGACAAAGGAAACAAACTGAAATAATGGGTGCTGATGAATGGTTAAAAAATGATTATTCTAAGCGTTAGCCCACTGAAGCAACTAAAAAGGAGAGACGGACTACATGCATTAAACAGCCTGAGATTTTAGACTTCTGTTGTTTTGATAATGCTACAAAATGCTTCCTTTGTCTTCACAATGAATAATTAAACTAAAATATGGAACAAATCCTAAAGTACTGCTTCAAGATGAAATTACTTCAATGGGGGGGGGGGTCTAATTTTTTATGGCCACCTTTTGTCATTTATTGATTTGATAGGTACTAATCAGTAAGCACTGCTGCATTGCACAGTGTTTCCTTCATGTCATTATGTAATGGGATGCACCCACATATATACCATATGGTGGACTGGACCCTCCTGGCTTCCATGAAAGGGGTCTCTAAATCCTCAACCCATATCCTGACACTCCTGGGAAGAGCTAACTTGGTGATGATGTCACCAGCCATTTGTCTCCAGAGCAATCCCTCCTTGTCCTGGTCTTCTTGTGAAAAGGCACTGGCAACCTTCCTTCCTTCCATAGTTGACCAGATGGGAAGCCATGTGCTCAGTGGTCCTTTTCCCCAGAATGAGTGTCACTGAGTCATTAAGAATACAAATCTTCATTTTGTATTTCAAGGTTAAAAAACAAGAAAGGAGTCGAAAGGCACAAAATTGCTTCTGAAGAGACTAATTCAGCTAGATGCTTCCTCAGCCCAGAATCTCTGAAAATGTCCAAAGTCCAACAGATCACAGTCCTAAAATAATATGGAATCTACACCATATCTACTGTAGCTCCATTGTTGCCTAGCTTGCTGAATAATGCCCTGATCTCCAGCCCAGATTTCTGTGAGTTGGGGCTTACTTGGTTTTCAGCCAAACCCCAGAAAGGGCAAAAACAAATCCTTCCTTTTTTAAAAAGCCCACCTGCAAATGGAAAAGTCTTATTCCTGACTTCAGCATTTGATTTCAGTGGATTTTGCATGTCTCTGCCCATGTCCCTGGTAAACAAATCAGGTTTCCCTTGAACACTTTCAGTGTCTGAATCTCTTAGAATGGAGTTTCCTCCCATTCAATGCATATTAGCTTCCAAATAAGGAAGATTTAAGAAAAATATAAAGTAAAGGGGGGGAAAGCCACTATCTGCAACAAAACAATCCAGAGTTTGATATACAGCACTTCTATAAAACATCATTTTTGATATTTTGTTCTATATGTTATATTTATATGATACAAGCATGCTTGTGATTAGCTGCTGAAAACAAAGGCCCCCAAAAGGTACATGTCATGCATCTTTCCCCTTGTACAGCAAGACAGTGAAAGTGTGACAAAAATTAGACAAATTAAGAGTTTATATAAAACGTATTTCAATGGCTCAATTTATATATGCTACAAAGCATCAATATCTTTAATTAATTAAACATTTAATATGCCACTTTTTATCATTATTTTAGTTTTTATAAACTGGTTTGATACCAAACAAAATAATACCAAACAAAATAAATAAATAAATAAATAAATAAATAAATAAATAAATAAATAAAAATAATAATAATAATAATAATAAATAAAATGGAATGGAATGGAATGGAATGGAATGGAATGGAAACCACAGTATAAGAAACATGGAGTTAGGAATAACTCCAAGACATTTACCAAATAAGTCATCTCCCTTCAACAGAGGCACGGGACAACAATTTTAATATGGGGATATTGATTTTGCATAGCTTTACCATGCAGAAGTGAGCATATTAAGAATACTTTATTAGTGCATACAAACCCTCAAAAAGACAAACGACTCAAGAAAATTGCAAGGGACATTCTTATCTTACAATCCATTCTTAAAAATGTAAGTACTTACCTAATTTCAGAGCAGAGGATGTCACTTCAATCTCTCCACCAATAGGTTGAAATGCAGCTAGCTGGGCAGCGACATCAGTCTCAAAAGCATCTGGGCTATTGCCTTCTGTTAAACTACCGTTTGTGTCATCAGATTTGGGGAATGCATCTTGTTCGTCATACACGGCAATCAACTGTAAAATAAAGTAATATTTTATAAAGCATTCATAGCAAGGATGGGATTCCTCCATGGAGGCATACCACCACATTGCTACTTCGTTCTAAACAACAGTGGACTATAGTACATAGGAGTTTTCTACCTTCCCCTCCTTTTCTGTTACTATTCCCCAAAAACTCAAGAGTTACTCTGGAACAACATGTGGTTTTATGTTCTCCTACAAGCAGGCAACCAGCAAAATCATTAAATAATAATCCACAAAGCAGGGTGAAGGACTTCCACCCTTCAAGAAAGGAGTAAAAACAGGGAAGAGCAGGCAAATAGGATAAGAGATAAACAGTTAACAAAACCAAACTGACCTGATGTTTTATGTCAAACAGTACAGAATTCTCCCTGAGAAAGGAGCTCCATAGGGATAACATTACTATAGAGAAAACACTGCTCCTTGAAAACACTCATAGACATCTATTGCTAGAGTCATGCAATACAACACTGGATGCTGAACTTCAGTGGTCTCAAGATCAGAACCTTGAAATGTCCAAAACTATATAGGCAATCTCTATGTCACAAGACCCAGAGAAAGATCTAGTAAGAGTTCTAAAATAGTGACTTAAAAGAGGCACAAACACACATCTAAGAGAGAAAAAGCACACCAACATATTTGAAACAGCATTAAAAAGTCAAAAACAGTAAAATGTTCTCATGCAGTTCAAGTTACAACAGCAAACAAGTTATTAATTTTTAATCATATGACACAATATTGCACTAAAAGAAACAAGGAATACGACCCAAATAATATTTCACTGTTTTCCTATAATCTAATCAAAACAAAAAGTGTTACTGTCTCATACAGGGAAAGGGTAACTGGTGACACTCCAAATAATGCTAAACACAACTCCTAGCACCTCTTAAAACTAGAGAGTGATCCTATTCTTCTGATACAAGAGACAGAAACTGATTTTTTTTAATCACCTAAGAGTATATTAATAGTACCAAGATACATTGTTCTATATCCAAAGTACAGGAAATCAGTGCTAACGGATTCATACAGTCCACACTGTGATTCATTTTCCTCTATAAGGGCCTTCTCTACTCTGACAAGGGGCAGTGCCACAATTTAATATACAGTTAACACAACCAAAAAGGAATTAAAACATAAGCTCAAATTGCTGTAGTCTGGACCTTTCTACTGGCCAGTAAGAAAATTAATATAAATAAAATTAAACAAATATGTGGTGGAGTATAACAATTAGCTTGTAAATGAAATAATCATGAGGACTTTGCATGGAAAGTTACATTACTTTGAAGTAATGAATCTTAAAGCATAGAGTGTCTTTAAAATATGAAGCAAATTACATTAACATCTAATTATTTGGACAATCCAATTAATATGTTAGTAACTGCAAGATACTACGGGAACTACATTTTAACACATACTGAAAAATTGAATGAAACCACATACATGCCCGCATCCTAGCCAAAGCCCCAACATTCTGGTGAAAGTTTTGTTCTTTTAATGTTTTCACCAGAATCAGCAAAACGCTTACCTAATTTCCAACATGAGTCACAAACTTCAGGGTGTTTTCAACCAATCCAGACAGACTAAAAAACCCTCTGAGCTGTTTCCAAGTATATCCATTTGCTAAAGAAATGGCAGGTGCCAGGAAAACAAACCCCTCCATCCTTCCAAATTAGGGGATCTCAGGAACAGACTGGAAAGTGCACCAGGGTTGTGGGCAGAAGAGAGCAAAAGATATTCACTCGTGCAACCTTATGTAAGCTAAATATGTTCCAAAATAATTCTTTTTCAAGTCTACATATGCAGATAGAGTTGAACCAAAGATAAAAATGACATTCCAAATGTAAACTGTCCTTTGGGGTGGGGGGGAGGGATTTAATAAAGAATGGATGCCTTAAGGCTTCCTTGGGTTTACAGGACCAATTTCATCTCCTAAAAAGACCAACAACCTTCCCCACATGGGCCAATTTTTCCCACCTTCCATAATGTGGATAATATGGTAAAGGAAACAGGAACACTACTAAATCCTGTACTGACTAAACAGCTGTACCTTCTAAGGTTTGTTCTGAATGCTTAATCTCAAGTACCAAAGAATGGGTTAATCTCAGACTTTACTATGAAAAAACCCCACAAATCCTCTGACAGAGATGAGAGTTGGATTCCTATCTCCACATTTGGAGAGAATGCTGATCAAGATCGGGTATCTACATTAACATAATTCATAATCTTCTAATGTAACCTGGAGGCTCGTCCTCCAGGATGCCAAAGTCAACAGGAGAGTAAGTCCCGCACAGACAAGAGTTTTGATGCAGGGCAAAGGCACACTGATACAGGCTGAGGTGATGGGGACGGTGGAGGCAGCAGGTTGCCATTAGAATCAAAGTGGAGATGTCTTTTGCTCATTCATCAGAAAAGGTAAAGACAACATACAAATGGAAATCACAAAGTGACAGGACAATAAAACCCTAAACTCCAACATTTTGATAAAATGAACAAGACAAATAAACACCTTTCAGTGGAAAGAGAAATAGTGGAGTTTAAATACTTATATAATTGTAAATCAAGGCAATTAGTTTATATCAGCTGATTTCAAACATTTCAAAATGATTAGCTTTCAATTAGTTTGGAATAGCAAAAAGAATCCTATTTATCTCTTTCTAAGTAAGTGTATGTGTACAAAACTACACGAACTTACTGCTTTGAAAATACTCGTTTTTTTCTTAATCCCTAGAGCTAGAAGTGGCAGGAGGAAAAGTGGTTTCAACATACACAACCAGAACCTGCATGCAATTAAATTCATCAAATCAAGTACTGCTATTTAAAGAAATACATATTTTACTTCTTATGAACATATTAGATAAAGAAGAGAGAGAGACTGGAGGGATAGGGGAGATATAATTTGTAGATATAAAATATAATTTCTTTAGTAAGAAGATACTAAAGGATTGTGCTATTACTACCATTACATTATTTTTAATTGTTCTGTAAATAAAAATACAGCTTCTAATGTCCTTTTAAAAATAATGATTTTGTCCCTAGAGTCTGATGGTCTATGATACTGTGTGCCAGGAGTCCTTCTGCTTTTTATTTTTTGCTTTTTCAAAGAAAGGTAATCAGTCAAGAACTGCTTATGTGGGAAAGTGCTACAAAACCATTTTTCTTCACATTCTTTCATATTAATGATCTGTTTTTTCAGTTTAAAGTAAGTGAAAGGGCTAATATCCTAAAAAAAACTTTATCTTTGTTTTAACTATTTAAAATAATAGCCTTTATAAATCAAAACCAGATCCCAAAATGGCAGTAAATATTCATTAAAAAGACTTAAGATAGCTTACTTATATGTTTACAGATAGGCCAAGAGTAGTAACTGTTCAGTTGTTAGATAGATAAATAAATGGTTGGATAGGTAAATAAGTAAATGTTGTATGCTACCCAGAGTCGCTTGTGCGAGATGGGTGGCTATATAAATGTGATTGACTGATTGATTGATTGACAGATAAATAAATAAATAAATAGTAAAATATCTGTGTCTATACAGCACACCAAACAAGCAAAGAGGGAGACATATTGAATTATTTTGGCCTCTTCAATCTAATATAGTAGAATAAATTATATATACCTACAGAAATAGCACTACTAATTTTTTGCAGCCCTCTGATGTATTGGGACCACTAAAGAGAATGGCTAGTTTATATCCATTAGTGTACATCTTTCTAAAGATTTGAGTTTACTCTTCTATTTCCATGTAGTATAAAACAGATTATTCTAATTTTTACAATCAATTGCCATTTTAACTGACATGTTATTGTTTATCAGAACACAAAACCAGTGCATTGAATTTTCTGATGTGAACTTGAAATTCATTATGTACAAACCTGCTCACAGCACAAATTTATACACAAATATCTCTGATTAGTCCAGAGGATCACTTTTCAAACAGGAGAGCTCCTCCCCCTATCTTAAACCAGTAGGAGCTCTTGTGAGTGAAATTCCATTCAACAGGAACTTTGGATTCTCATGTACGGCAGGAGAAAGAAATAAAAAACTGTAATGGAAGAACAGCAGGAAAAAGCAACTGCTGGCAGAAATTTCTTGGTACTGCCTCTGTGGTTATCAAAAGGGAACAGAGATGGGAGGCAAGTTCCAAGGTGGCTAAATAATACTGATTCCTATTGCTCTACCAGCACAGAACCCATATGGGCAAGCCACAGAGATAAGTAGGATACAGAGAGAAATAAGAAAGTATTCAAGCTAGTACATACAGCTAACAATGCTACACAGAAATAAAACTGGATTTCTAGTAGTAGTAGTAGTAGCAGCAGCAGCAGCATTTACAAAGAAAAAAATAACAGAGAAACAGAGACATTTACATGAATAATCACTGATAGGAGTATTAAATTAATTTTACCTATATATCTTATATTATGCAATAAATTTGTTTATATTTAGGTCAGTTTACCAAACTGTAAAGGATAAAGAAACGAGTGAAGATTAAACATAAATGCCAACAGTCCTCTAGATGACACAGTGATAAAATGCTTGTTCAAATATTTAAAAAGAGTTGAGTTTTTCAGATCATTATAATAGTGGTCTTTTTGCATTTATAACAGTATGCAATGTCCATTTCTTTTGACCCTATCGGTTTCTACATCACAGGCATGTTGTTCCAATATGAATCCACTATGGCAGAAGACTACATCATATGAACTAGGGTTGTATTTAGAGATCATAGCTCACCCAATTAGTTAAATCCCTAAACTTCTTCCTGACATATTGGTACCCAATATACACATTACATATACAAAATCTTTGTTGAATGTAGCGTAATTTTAAAATTATAGGAATACAACATGGATAACAAAGTAATTTCTATTGATGTAGGTATGTAACAACCATTTATAAGTAAGAGTTGTTGGCATATTGTTTTGTAAATTATCTGCTAAATCCTCTATACATAAAGAGAGCATTGAAGTGGGCTCATGTCTAGATGTCAAAAA